CTTGTGACTGGTCTTGTGTCTGGTCTTGTGTCTGGTCTTGTTACTGGTCTTGTGACAGTCTCGACTACAATGAACAACTGTGATTTGACTATGTCACAACTCTTGCTTTTTAATGAAATTCCTTTCTGCACCTTGTGTGCAAAAAGTCGAGTGTGCGTTTCCAGCTCAGAGAATTTTGGTACATGTAAGCCTTCAGGAATCACATTACCGTATCTGCTAGTCAAGCAAATGCAGTTTTGTGTGTTTTTTCAAACGTCAGAGAATAAATGGCAAATACGAGATTGAAAAACAAAGAACGATCTCCTTATGACGGACAGAACACGCTTCCGGAAACATTGAGTCCACCGATTCTTTTCAGAACCTGACCAACTCAAAGAATTTCCTACATAGTACTGTTGCACGCTACTCCAGCTTACTCCCTTCGCTATGCAAAAACCATCAAATCTGATCCAAATCGAGAAGGCTGGGGCTTTTCGTCATGGAGAAAGAGACGTCTTGGATAAACATCTTATGCAACTGGGACGAGTTCAGTGGTAGGATTTGTCAATGGGGCAAGCGCGGGAAAGTTTCACGATATTTGTTGGGCGAAATGGTTGCCATTGTTAAACATTAATGGCCATTTTGCAGAACCATTGTCCATTGTCAGTAACTACCGAGTCAGCCAGATGAACATTAACCAGAGCGGTTGATAGCCCTAATTGCACAAATGGGCTGATCTGTGCATCAGGTACATGTATTCACAATGCAGTAACTTATGTAGTAATCGGTTATTTTTGACTGATTTTGCAAACAATCATTTTGCAACATGTACAGATAACATGTAACTAAAGAAGAGTAACAGTTTTGTATTGTGGACACATTACAATCAACCAGTTTGGGGAATTTTTTTGTTTTTATCTAGGTTTTCTTTTCGCAAACATATTTGAGCAGCATACATTCTTGCTTTCCACGGCGCAAATAGACAAGTTCTAGTACCTTTGTAATTCTGTTATTCATTTGCGTGTCCCTGCTCAGCCGATAAACCAAACAATTCTTCATTTTTCCCACATGCCTGTGAATAAGTGCGCTGTCACAAACTCATCTTCGAAAGTTGTCATAAACTTAAATGTTCAAGCACGATGAGGATCGCTTTTTTAAAATCCGTAAAATCTTGAAAAAGTTTTTGCTTTCAGAAATATGTATGAATGCCATAATGAACTCAGCAACAAGTTGAACACGCTTTTGATGAGCTTAACTTCATCGACGAGTGTGCGCACGGCACGCTTTTCTGCTCAGCGTGCTCATGTCAACAAATTTCAAGCATCGGCTTTTGGGTATTTCAAAACGTATAAACTCCAGTAGATCAACATCATTAGAGACGTTGTACAAGCTTCAAACTGGACCCCGCGATAGCAAGTTGAAGTCAAATTGTCCAAAACTTCCCAGAGTACACACCACGTCAGCCTCTTCTGGTGTGGTTTTTGACCCCATTAAGATGTGTTTTGCATACAATCGAAGCCGCTCAGGCTGGGATTTACCAAAAAGAGACACAAACTAACTAAGCCAACCAATAGCCTATCCCGCAGTGTTGAAACATCGAGACAATAGGTGGAAAAAGTAGAACTGTAGATAAGTAAACTCGGGTCAGAACAGTTTTTAAAGTCCTTGTCCTGGCGCCCGATTGACGCAGTTTCAGTAGTGCGAGGCAATAGATAGGGAGAGAAGCGATTTCTGCGACACGGGAGAAAAGTTCTCAGGATTCGCTGCCCGTATAATTATCCTCTTGCTTGGGGACTTTCTGGTACTCTAGCTCTGCAGGGATTTTTAAGGGGTGAATTTTTTTCCTTGACGCGGGATGAGGATTTTTCTGTTGTTGGCCTTCGTGGCCGTAGTGAGGGGCGCATCTCTTCCTTGGAGTGTGGTACCTTGGGAGGAATGGGATGTCGATCTTGGGATCACCGGACCTGAGGTGTCGATGCCCTCGCCTTCCGATTCACCCAAGTGAGTGGACAATCAATTGCGCGCAACATGCGCGCGTATACTTTTATTGTAGGTATAAATTTATTTTCAGTTAAGTCAGGTTTTTTGTCATAGCCGCAACGAAACAAAGTAAATTTCTGTCCTCTTTAAGTACGTCATCATTTGGGTTTCTAAACCTCAAGACTGAGCCAGGTGTTTGATTTTTTGATCCCTTTTAAATTGAAGACACCATTTCAGCAGTGTAATTCTGACTTAATTCCTAATGCCAACTGGACGAAACTTGATCGAGTCGGCAGAGCTTCTGCAGTAAAGTTTAGTGTTTACTACCAAATTTATCATCTATACGATATCTATTTTCATCAGTACGTCAAACAAAAATGAGGCGTTCTGCTTGTTTAAAAAGTTTAAACTAAAAGAGTGAAAAAGTCTCAGTGAAAATGTGAAGCCACCGCGCCCCCTCGATCACTTGTTGGATCATTTTTAAAAGAATTTGATTATCACTAATCTTTTGGGAGAAAGGAGTTGAACCCTCAATAGTGATGAATAAAGGCCTATTTTCCTGCATTTTGCTTGGGGTTTGGTCGCAAATTCATTTCTCAGATTTCTAAACCGAACAAAATGACTCCGATTACGACATCTCTTTTCAACGACTGTTGCTTTTGATGTTTGTGTTGTCCATCTTTGGGCACATGTTGCACGAAGTTTCTTGACAGCAGACATTTGCTATTTCATGGTCGTCTCCAGGTTTGGGGGGGGTGGGCTTGGGTGAATCTATGGGACAATAAAATAATGCACTAAAAGGCGATTTTTCTAGAAATCTTTGTCCCTTTCCAAAGGTATGTAAAAGCACCAAAGTGAAGGGAATAAACTATATTTTTGTCCTCAAGAAAACCGTTAGCTTCCTCCTAAAAAATGGTTTTGGATTGATATCTGCCCTTGTTGGCGTTGGCAAAACTTTCTGTTTGGGGGACAATTATGCTTAATAATCGTGAATTTGAAGACTCAGGTTTAAAAGCCAGAATAGGGCTTACCATGCTGGATAAAATTTGTCAGTGCACAAATACGAATTATGAACCTCAAGCACGTAAGACGAGGAAACATTTTCGGGGAGAGGCTGACCAATATACGAGCCAGCCCGTCCCAGCCAACACCCGTATTTGGAACTTGGAGCGCCGTATTATCTCTACCAGATACACCACGCCCCCTTTGAACACCTAAGTAGGTGTGATGAATAAACAGCAGCAGCTTTTGGCACTGACGTGACAGGTCTTTGAAGCATGCATGGGCGGAGAATTTTTTTTTTTTTAAGATTACTGATTGTCTTCCTTATTCCATGTCAAATTCTAAAGGCCTAATAATGATTATAATTCCCACCATTTTATTTTAATCTCTAAATTTAAAGCATTTGTTGCATCTGAAAAGTGCAAATAAAGTGGAAATTTGACGATATCTTAGATGCTGTGATGCCTTCAAGGAATAGTACGCTACTAATTTTAAAGAGTAAACCGCACTTTTGTTGGACCTCAAACATTCTTTATGGCTTATCTAGTCGAATAAAACGATAGCAGTGTTCGAAGTACAAAACAATCGGGTTAATGACGGTTTTATCATGCAAGATTGCCAACGAGTGTAACCCGAGAAAATGTTCCTTCACTGCTACTCTTTTTTCCATTCTCTTTGCTATTGGTGTCTCTGCAAAGTTCGAGATCGATCTGAGGGATATACGGGTAAGCCTACGTGTACATGTACATCTTGGTGGATCAATAACAAATCGATGACTTTTAATGAAAAACAAATATATGCTGTGCGCACCTCATACACGCTGGCATTTAATCTGAGCCCAGGGAGCCTTGTCAACGAAAGGACCCCCCCCCATATTTAACCCCTCATTATGCACTCAACTTCAAGAGTCATAAGAGGGCGCTCTAATATCTAAATATCAGCGGAAATCAAAAAGTGAGTGCATAAATAACCTCACAGCTAGCTGCCTACAACAGGTACGGTACTAAAAAAAAAAGTAAAAGTTTTCACGGTACAAAAACTTTGAGATTGAAGCCCTTCACATGCGTCATTTTCAGAGGTGTTAGAGCATGGCAGTTCTTGCATTTGACGTATTCATTTTTTGTTTGAGGCCTTCAATCATAACGGTAGGCGTAACAAAAATACAAGGTGTGTGCAAATCCAGTGAAACTTGACGGGTAGATTCGCAGTAGGCCTGCTAAGTGCTATAACTTCCAACCATGTGATTCTACCTCCATGTTCCAACTTCCATAATACGGACGCCACTTGACACCCCTGTGCACAAACCCCATGAGACTGGTCTGAGAAATTCTACGTCAAGCGTTTGCTCACTCAACGACTTTATATTTTCCCTCCTAAATTGAACTTTTCTGGACCTCCGATGGCTATATTACATCACTGTAACCTAGGGAAGAAGAACTCTTCCCAAAATTTCTCTTATAAATGTGGCGGTTTGCCCTTTTCAAGCAGTTTGTCCAGCCAAACTCACTGAATATGTTACTGCCTGTCAAACATGTCAACATATCAAATTAGCACTCAAATAGTCTTGAAACAAATGATTCACCTAGGCCTACTAGACTACTATTACCGGAACATGGAGGCGTAGGTGTAATAAATATCAGAAAGACTCAAAGCGTTCCCTTCATAACATTGAAATCACTTGACATCCTATGCGCAAACTAGTAGGGACCTAAATGGTAGTTAAGCTGCCATTTCAGGCCCCTTACCGAGCTGTGGGAAGCTTTACATTAAGCGTTTACAGCCCATGTGGAAGGAGTTCCACATGGGCACTGCTTGACACCCTGTGCTCACTAAGAGACTGGTCTGAAAAATTCTGTTTTCTAAGTAAACAACTTTTTTCCTTCCAAAATTGAACTTTTTGGAACTTATATGGAACTCTTCCCGTTTACATTATAATTGGAGGGTTGAAGAGTCATTTGGGGGGGTTGTATTCATGTTTTTTTCTTGGGAAGAATTCAATACACGGACATCGGTAATTTTTCCTTGTACTAGGCCCAGTCATCATCTGATTGTGAAACATCCATCAGAAAGCAATACCTTGTCCACTAACATCAAATTTACCCGGAAAAATATTGAAGCTTTTAGGCTTAGAAAAAACACTTTTTCAGACCAGTCTCATTGGGTTTGTGCAAAGGGTGCCAAGTGATGTCCAGTTATTAAACTCTTTCCGTGTCGAGTTCCGAAACAGTGCCATGTGTACAGTTGCTCCAGTTTTTGTTTGTTTGTTTGTTGGGCCCACATTCAAAGTCTAAGTAAGGCTGCATCCGAATCTCTTGTATGGAGCAAGGTCTTGGTATTCACTCCATTGGAAATGCATGGAGACTCGCAAACAATAGACCTAGCTGTAGCTCAGTGGAAGCCCGTTTCGGACATGGCCTAAGACGAGCAAAACCAAGCATTGTAACGTAACTAACGTTAATCAAGTGCAATTTTCTTTTTACCTGCAGTGTTTGCTCTGGCTTCAGAAGAGATGGCAGGTGTGTACTCTTGAAATTTACCTGTAACTTGGATCACTGAGTCGTGTGGTTTTAGGGGTAGGGCCTGCAGGTGTAATGGCTTATGTCTATCATGCATTCACAACACTAAAAGAGTATTCTAAAGGCCCTGGTTATCTCTGGATTGTTTATCATGGATCTGGTCCCCGACTACGGGTTTTGGGCTTATTGGTTTGAATTTGAGTGAAAATGTTTACTAATGTTTTAGTTTTGTGGTAGTCTGTAAATCATGACACTAACGGTTGTGTCATTTGGACGCACCTGTCCAAGAGATCATGCTGAATGTGACTGTGAGTAGAGTGGAATAAGAGCCTTGAAGTGCAACATTTCTGATTGCCTTCAGTATCTCCTTTGCAAATTTTGTTGCAAATTACAAATTTCCTATGTCTTTATAAACATTGTGGCTGGAATCACTCACGCTAGACAGAATAAATGGAATAAATATGTGCTTAGCTAGCCTTAAACATGGGCATTAGTTGTGTCAATTCTTCTGGGCTGGTCTTAAAATGCACTTTTAATAACGGTGAAGTAGATTGGTATGAGAAACAGAAGATAAAAGAAAGTGATTAAAGAAATGCCTGTGTTTCCTTCAGTTCCATCAAGGTTTGCTGTGAGGGATATACTGGCACAGTTGAAGATGGCTGCCCAACACGTACGTAGTAATTTATGTCCTGTTTCCTTGCAAAAGAGATTCAGTGAACATCAGCTCGGTTGCTTTTTGTGTGGTAGCTTAAAGACTCCCAGAGATCCAAAAATGTCACAAGCACGTATAGTGAATGTCACCTTTCTTCTCTTTCATGATAGAGGGAAAAATTCCAAACTGCTCTATAAATGGAAACTTTGTTGATTCTTTCTCAAAAGTCAGTCCTCTTTGAAGTAGGCTGTACTTGGGGATAAAATTGAGACACTGAAGAAATTGATGTTTGATATTTGATGGAAGCAAAGGCAGTGTCTCAAATACTTGACTGTGGTTCACAGAAACACTTGGAAATAACTGAATCCACTTCTTTTAAAAGTTACTTTTTTAATCCACTTCTGTTGGAAGAAGTGTAGCTATATCAACTGCAATTGGAATGACAGAATCTGCTTCTTGGAGTTACATGCTGCTGCTAGCCATAACCAAGTGCATTGGAGTCTCTGGGAGGGTACCAGAGATGAATTCAAGGATTGTTTTCTTACCTTGAATCTCAGTGTTTTAGTCAAGACCACCATCACAACACCATTCACAAGACCAGTCATCACCATGAACAGGGTGAACAATGACAAGGGAATGCTTTGGACCCAGTTCATTTGAATAGACCGATTGCACCCGCTAAGTCATGTGACCTACGGGTGTATAGTGGGTATTAAATATCAACAAACACGGCGTCCACCAAAAGCAAAGTGATTCATAAGTATCATTTAATACTGACTGTAGGTATTGTACCCAGACCACTGATGTGCTGGGTGTTATACAGTAACTTGGCTTTACTCTTTGTAAACAACACTCAAAATGCATATTGATATTGGGTTGGTACCCACTGTAGGTACATGGTTTAGAGGGTGCAATCGGTCTATTGATTGTGACTGGAGGGCTTAGTCTTGTGATTGTCTTGTGGGGTGGCTTTAATTTCAACACTGTTGAATCTTCAACTTTTCCCTCCCATTGTTGAATTGTTGAATTAATAATGTCCAAATGCCCACCACAAGAAAATACATAATAATCCATGCATTGAAAGATTACCAACCCTTGATTTATTCTTTAGCTGTGTGCGACTCTCCATGCCTCAACGGAGGGACATGTGCTGCACCAAACCATTGCATATGCCCCAAGGCGTACACAGGCCAGACATGTGACAGTAAGTTAACAGGCAAAGATGGGTGGAGCAAGGATTATTAAGAGGCGGGGTTACAGTCAGTGCATAGTAACATTTAAAGGACGTTAATGCCAAATTGATTGACCCGTTTTATGCATGAATGTGAAACTAGTCCTTGTAGGAGTCAGTACCTCTGAATTGGAATGAATCACTTCCCTATGGAAGCATCACACCAACTTTGTAGATATTTTTGAATAACCTGTCTTGCTTGACAAGTACTCCGAGTACACTTTCAACATGCATGTATTTTCAAGGAAATGGAATTTTTACTACTCTTCAAGAGGATGTGCCACTTGACTGATGAAGACACAAGGATTTACACTTTCAACTAGACCAAGTGGTGTAGTTTATGTGGTAGCTGTTATCTATTTGTAGAGAATTATCTGATCTAGATTAATTGAATATAGATCAAGTATTTCACAATATAAAGCATCAAATGATTTCACAGTCAAGATGGCGGGCATGATGGGGGTATACAGCAACATGTTATTGAATGTTCTTGTAACATTACATCAGAGAAAGGCAAACCTGGCATTAATATCCCCACCGTTTCCTTCAGAAGTCATCGTTAATTTTGACTTATGTTGTTTGCTGTCCCATTCATCCAGCCTTGAAGAGGGAATTTGTCTGGAGTAGTTGGGCAAACGTGAACCAAAAACCCCTCCTGGATAGCTTCCAGATGACTTTGAACCTGTATCACATCCGAGATGAGTGAGTAACCTCTGTACTTGGTACTCAGAGAATCATGAAAATTCTTAATATGTGATACTGGAGTGGACCAGTTATTACCTGACCTGCTTGCATGAAGACTCCCTTTCTCCGAGGTATGAGCCCCAAGCTGAACCAAGGGCCACATCGCTACCAGCAAAATGAACACTCCCGACCAACATGGTCTTTTTCAATCGCTAAGAGGGTGTCAGTTTTCCCCCTCAAGGATCTGATCAAATGACATCACAAGGAAGTAAGGTGTTCTCGTGCCATGAGGAGGAAATAAATGTAATGTAATTGAATTGAATTAATTGAAATGCTGACTTGCAACAACCTAAACCAGAATTGACATTATGCAGGGTTGAAGCATGTAAGAACGTCGTCCCTGAAGACATTGAGTGTCGCACCCGAGAAAACCACATGGATCACACCCAAACAGGCCAGGTAGTAACCTGCGACCGTCGCTCGGGTTTTAAATGTCGGAATGATGAACAGCCCTATGGGGAGCCCTGTCTGGACTACGAGGTCCGAATTCTTTGCCCAGTCAAGGACCAGGGTGAGTGGACATTGTGACCTTTCAACTCTTTCCTCTCCTTGTAAGGTATTTTTGGACTCGTTTTCTCATTTTGGTGAAGGGAGTAACCAGGGGGAGAAAACCCACTTTGTTCTCACTCATTGTTATGAATGGTTTA